CATGGAGTTAATTACCAAACTCACCATGAGGAATGACTACATTCAGCTGCCCAGCCACTCAACCAGGCCCAGCCAAGTTGACATGCAAATGTAACCACCACATGTGGTGAGACTGTGTCTACATCCTTTGGATATGTTATCAAAAAGGACCAGTCTGTGGAGAAGGATATCATACTTGGAAAAGTAGAGAGTCAGTGAAAAAGAGGAAGATAGCATTTCAGTTCCTCCCTCGTAATCCCTGATATTTGAAGGCATGTGAACTAAAATTACATAAAATTAAAAACATATATAAATACAGTATCATAGGTCATTGTACATGCCAAGTTTACCTTCTATAATACTTTCTCTATTTCTACCAGTGAAAAAGGTCTCTAAGCTAGTTTACTACTCCACTGATTACTGGAATTGGTATGGCTTGCCTATCACAATGTGCCAAAATATTATACCTATATACCTTAAGAGAAGAGTTAAAAAAGAAAGTTTCCACATTTGTCTCTGAATTAGAGCCCATATTTTACTAGCTACATTATCACAGTTTTTCTAGGATCTGGTCTGATTGAAGGTAACCCTCATTGCTTATATTCTGTATCAAAGTTCTCAAACTTGAGCATGTTTCAGAATTATCTAGAGACCTTATTAAAACACAGATTACTGGGCTCCAGCCCCAGAATTTCTGGTTCAATAGGACTGGAGGCTGATCAAAAATTCTGCACTTCCATCAAGTCCCCAGGTGTGTCAACCTGGCTGGGCCTGGTTGAGTGGCTGGGTAGCTGGTGGTAGTTATTTCCCATGATGAGACTGGCAATAACCTCCACAGTGGGACCTACAACAAGCAGTTGAGTAGCTGCTTTGAGGATGTGGCCTGCTTCCTATATAAAAGAAACAGCTTTGGGAATAGTCTCTAGCTTATGGCACATTTGAACCTTGAATGTATCTGTATCATTGTTCAGCAGCCTGACATGCTCGGCCGACCTTGAGACTTATAATGGACTTGAATTAATGGTCTGCCATGTGGTTTCGTAACATCGGGACTGTGTCTTATTACTTGTCAACCTTGGGCTTGTCAGCCTCAGCAGCCAGCAGCTGAGTGAAGAAAAGCCTCTAGCTTCAGTGGGCCGGGAGCAGGAGGCAAAGCTGAAGCCCAAGGTTGAGGGGCTTTCACGTAGCTCCTAGAGGCTAGTACTTTGAACTCGGACTTAAAGCCTCCAAACTGTAAGAGAATAAACTCCTGCTGGACAAGTCCATCCCATTTGTGGTATATTCCTGTCAGAGCTGCACTTGGTAACCAGAACACCAGGTGATGCTATTGCTGATGTCCCTGGGACCACACTTGGAGAACTTCTGTCCTATATTGTCCAGTTTTCAGACGCTTAAAAGTAAACGGTTAACATCATTTCTTGGGTCATTTAATTTCCATAAAACTGCTTCTAAATCTTTTCTGCTTTAACATAATAGTCTTTTTTGGTGTTTCTAAAATTCATATCTTAAAACAATTTTTCAGTCGAAAAAGAGCGGTTAGGAACCAAAAGAGTTCTTTTTCCTTCACTAATTTCAATAATAAAATTTTTAAAAAAGTGTACAACTATAAAATCTAAAAACAAAACACAAAAGCTACCGAACAAATCAGCCCTTGAGTTTATCTACCTTTTAATCATAAGGTAAGGCTTCTCTTACCATGTTACCATCAGCACTATCATTACAACAGGAGTTTATTACACATTTTTAGCTCCTTCAATGTCTATTGTTACAAAAACCAAGCCCAAATCCAATCAAACAAAGTAGCTGTGTTGTCAAATAATATATATATATATATATTTTAATGTGGAACTGGTTCAAAATCATTGAATCATAACCGTTAGTAGCTGCTGAATGTAACTAAAGGAGCCCTGGAGGCACAGTGGTAATGTGCTTGGCTACTAACCCAGAAGGTCAGTGGTATGAACTGACTGCTTTGTGGGAAGAATATGTGGCAGTCTGCTTCCATGAAGATTTACAGCTCTGGAAACCCTATGGGGCAGGTCTACTCCATGCTATATGGTCATGATGAGTCAGGATCGACTTGACAGCACACAACAACAAATTAACTCATATGCCTTCATTAATTTTTCTATGTTATGAAATTTGCACTACAGGAGAAATTCCTGTGGGGCTGAACACTGCTTTGAAATTATATAAGGGTATGTTCATTTTATCCTGTTGTTTTAAAAAAAAAAATCAGTACATGACACTGAATAATATGTTATCTCAAACTTTGTATTTGCTACATATTTGTGGTGTCTGTTTATCTTTTCATGTGTGTGGTGTGTGGAGGGGTGCTGTCTAACATCAGAACCTCCTTTCTGTATGTGGGGATTCTGCTTCTGTGTGCAATGGAATCGAAAAGGCCCAATATTTGAACTCCTAGACCTCTGGCAGTCAGAATGCTGGTGAGGGGTCTCAGAGTAGCTGACTTGCCTGGGACTTTTAAGTCTAAGAGGAAATAACGTGACGAAGCAGGGATGGTTTAGAGGCCATTCTGCCAGCAGTGTGGTGGCAGCAGGACTGTGAATTCCACCCTCACTGAAGAGAGTATGGCTGCAGCATTCTAATCAAAGAGTGTCTGTGTTCTCAGCTCCTTGACTGCCCTTAGTTCCTGTCTGTTTTTCAGGTTCTCCAGCATTCCTGTTGATTCTGGATTTTCATTCTCTCTCTCACACACACACCCCCAATAGGCTCCCAATAGACCTCTTTGCTTCTTAAGTAAGCCAGAATTGGTTTCAGTCATTTGCAACTAAGACTTTCACTAGCATAAGTCTGGCACCATCTACGCTTCTCTCTACGTGTGATGATGCTAACAGCCACTGATCCAAACTCTTCTAAGCTCAATTCAACTATGACTGTTTTTATACATCCCTTTTTTTCCCCCACTGCACACAAAAGAGAATGTTGGAAATCAAAGGATAAAAGAAGGAATAAATCCACAGGACTAATAGCCCACATGATCTACAACCTCTTCAAACCTGAGACCAGAAGAACTAGATGGTGCCCAGCTATCACTACTGATGACATTCTGACCAGGGACATGAAGAAGTCCTGGATAGAATGGAGAATAAAACTCAAATTCCTTAAAAAGCAGACCTCCTGGACCAAAAGAGATTGGAGGAACTCCTGAGACTATCACCTTTGAACATATCCTCCTTCAGCCAAATAAGAGTTTGGCTTACAAAATAAACAGTATCACCCACGAGTAACATGCTCCCTAAAATAATGAACTATGTGAGACCAAATGGTCAACACATTTACTCAGAAACAAAGGTGAGAAGCAAGGAGGGGAAGGGAAGCTAGAGCAACAAAAACAGAACAAACAGAATGGGAATAATGACGATGTAGACACATTGTAAAAATTGTAACCAATGACACAGAACAATTTGTAAAAAATTGTTAAAGGGGAACCTAGTTTGCTGTGTAAACTTTCACCCAAAATACAGTAAAATATTATTAATTTTTTTTTAAAAAAAGAGATCTTATAACAGGTAAATGTAAATTCCATTGTATGGGTGTATCAATTTCTCCAACCAGTTTCTTCCTGATATTTAGATTGTTTCAAGTCTTCTGCTATTACAAGCAATGCTTCAGGAATACCCTTGTACCTACAAGATACTATCTATCTCTGGGTTATGTGCACCTCTATTAGTAAGACACACCCTCATTAGTGAAGTTCATAGGCGTATGCCAGACTTCCCTCCAAGGAAATTACTGACACGTTTACAATCCCACCAGTAATATATATGTGTCTGCTTCCCCTACTCTCTCTAATGTAGTGGATTATCCAACGGAATCCCTTTCTAGTTTTTAATCTAACAAATAAAGAATTCTTTATATACATGTGTCTGCCACATGTATTGAATATATTTTTCCCAGAATCTTTCCATTTTTACATATTCAATTGTACCAGACTTTCCTTTTGTAGCTTCTGGGTTTTGTGTCTTACTAAAGAAAGGAAGACCTTCCTCATTCAGAAACTATATATAAATCATGCTTTGCTTTTCCTTTATGCATTTAATTTTTAATATTCAAGTCTTTGTCATTTTTTAATTTATTTTGGAGGAAGGACTAAGGGAAGAGGCCAGCTTTGTTTTTCTCTGTATAACCTGTTGTCCTAACAGCAACTATTAAACTTTTGTTTCAAGTATCTGAAATGTCAATTTTTTCCTATACTCAGTTCTGGATACTCCCTGCTCCTTATTAACTTGTTGTTATTTTGTTGTTATGTGCCGTGGAGTGGGCCCTGACTCATAGCGACCCCTCCTTGGGTTTCTGAGGCAGTATGACAACGGAAGTAGGATTGCCCAACCTTCCTTCCTTATTAACTAGTCTATTAAAATATGGTATCAACTTATTTTAATATATATACCTTTATATCTTAATATTTAACAGGTGGTCCAACTAATTTTCATTACACATTAAAATAATAATGTTTCTGTATGTGAAAAGATTTCTGAAATTATAATGGAATTCAAAGGGAAACTAACCTATCGACTTATAACTTTTCATGAATGTGTAATGCAATGACAAAAAAATGACAGACATTTACTGGGTACCTATGAAGTGTAAAAACTTCTGAGAGGACTAGTGCTGACAGAGAATATAAACATAAGGCTCAGAAAGGAACATCAATCTAGTGATGGAGCCTGTGTTTATGTATCCATTTTTATGTCTCTCTGTTTTTCTCTCACATATACTGTCCTTACATAATCAATTTTCATTCTCTGTCTCTCACACACACTCACAAAATGCAACACAACCACTGCTGTGGAGTCGGATCCGACTCACAGTGACCCCTCCTTGGGTTTCCGAAGCAGTATCACTACTGAAGTAGATTGCCCAACCTTCCTTCCAAGGAGTGGCTGGTGGCTTTGAACTGCCGGCCTTCTGGTTAGCAGTCAAATGTCTTAGGTACTACACCACCAGAGCTCCCACACACTCACAAGCACATACCATATTGGTAAATGAACACATACCTGTTTGATTTCTTTAGCAACCAAAGTAACTGAGAACAAGACTCTCTGACTAACACTGCTCTGACAGGAAATGTTACAGGCTGATTTATTTCTCTACATATATATTCCATCTCCTTCACCATTGCCCAGCTGTAACCTGAAATGAAAAGAAAGACATGTAACTTTTCTGATTGGAATTCTGAAAGTCAATTAAATGAAAAACTAAATTACTTCTGAGCATAAAAATTTCCATTTGAATTCAGAGTGAGTTAAAACACCTTTTAATACTAAAAATATTTTTAATGGAAAATGTAGATAAAAATTAAATCGAAAATCACACCACAAGTAATTTAGAGTAAATTTAACAAAAAATTTAAATGGTAAAGGATTTTTACTAGTCTCTCAAGTACAAAAGAAGCATTTTACACTATTTTATTTACTTTAAAGATTCTCTTTGTTAGGTATTTTTAAAAGAAAAAGAAAAACAGTTGCAGCCAAATGATTACAACTCATGGAGACCCCATGTGGGTCCTAGTGCTCCATAAGGTTTTCAATGGACGTGATTTGGAAGCAGACTGCCAGACCTTTCTTCCTAGATGCATCTGGGTGAATCTGAACTGCCAACATTCTGGTGAGCAGACGAGCACGTAACTATTTGTACCCGGAACTGTACTGTCTAACAAGGACACTGTGGATCCATCAACACACATTTGGAGCACATTCCAATGCCTAGGGAGCAGAACTTGTGCTCCTCATCAACTATACTCTCCCACTTCAGGCTCGCATCACTTGAAATGCCTTTATTACCACCCACCTCCTTATCCTTCATCTGACATAGGGAGTTTACTCCAAGGCTAGGCAATAAACAAATAAACTGTAGAAACTTTTACAAATTCAAAGGCACCAACTTAGGATTTGTTCAAAGTATGTAAAGAAGCAACTTTGATTATTATAGACCCTGCAGAGAAATACTTCCCCTGGAAGCTTGGTGACAGAGCTTCACCAACAAACACAGTGCCCACCCAAAGCAACAGAAAGGTCATCTGCATACACTGAGGGCCCGACCTTTCTCTCTACTAGGCTCTTAGATGTTAGAGGATATGTTTTTGGTTTTGTATCAAAGATGTCATTCTTATATCTAGAAAATAGTTTAACTTTATCAAGAAGAAACTGTTAGAATTTTTACCTTCATTGACTTTCTGAGGATGCCATCCTGTGGTCCAACCCAGGGAAAATGTCACATCTGGAAAGAAGGATGTCACAGTGTCTATAAATAGTTTTGCATCCACCACTCTGCCATTTCCATTTGGACCAGGAAGAATATCAGCGTTAATCCACACAGGACGCTTCAGATGCCTCTTCACGTTTTCCAGGAGCATCATGGATGGTTTTACAGCTGCCAGACTGAAACATATTTTGTTCTCAATCATACATATGCCTAATGTAAAAGTAAGGAGAAGTTCTTTTGGAATAGTTGTTTTAACATTCTCAAATTCATAATAAAACAATGCCTGAATTAAATATAATCAAGTATTACATAATACCAGAGGAGAAATAATGTAAGTCTTTATCTCAAAATGTTGACTTATGCTCATTATTCATGAAGGTATCTTAAAAGTTCTATAAATATGTGAATAATGCCACTACTTATAGACAAAGGTTTCAAAACTCCTGTTAAGATAACTCAATGTAAAAACAACTTAAGAAAAAACATACATATTTGCCATCAGAGAAGGTATAAACAAGGCAACAAATTAGAAATATTAACAACAACAAATTAAAAATATTAATAACTTGCAAAGTTACATTCATGAAAATACCCAAGTGCTTTCAGGTGCCTTGCCTCTAATAACCTGCTCACAACCCTGGAGAAAAAGTCTGTTTTCCTTCACATATTTTTGGGGGAGTTTGGACACATGAACACATTTCTGAAAATGACTGTAAAATATAAAAATATAATATTTTCTTAAACCTTTTATAAATGTCATTTTTCTTTGTCTTGTATAAGCACCTCTTCTGGAAACTAGAGGTAAGTACATTTTCATTAGTTTAAATCAAAAAACAGCTTTACTTTCTTTACTTCCCTATGTCTGCTCTAGCTGACATCTACAGATTCTGAAATAATCAGATTTTAATCAGCGTATGTAATTTCTACTTTTAAAAAATATATACACAATCAGGAGGGTGTGCACTCATTGCAACAATCAAGCATATGAGATCAAGAGGACAGCATTTGCCCAGCGATAAAACTAGGAAAGGGGAGGTGGATGGAACAACAAAGGGAAGGGGTGGGTATAGGGAGGAAATGGGAAAAATCCTGGTACAGTGTGTGTGTGGGGGGAAATACACACACACACACATACATACGTGTGTGTATATGTGTGTGTGTGTATATATATGTATGTATATATACATAAACTTCATAGGGAAACTAATAATTCTGACTATCTTCTGAACCTTTAGGCCTATATTGATTTGTAAGAAATTTAGCTTGTAGATGAGATGGAAGGCTAATAATCTTCGAGATGGATGTTGGAGGGGAGAACATTCCATACTCACATATTCATCTGTCTTCCTAAAGGACTGAAATCTTCTGGTGTATGCTTCCATCTCTGTTCTCTGTACTCCTTTCCAGCCTCCTACCTCAAAAGGAGAAGCTGACAATCTCATTATTTATTGGGTCCTGTTTACTAGTGAGCAAGGATTTTTTCTCCAGTTGCCTTTGAGTCGATTCTGATTCATGGTGACCCCATGGTTTCAGAGTAGAACTGTGCTCCAAAGGGCTCTTACGGTTGTCACCTTTCAGAAGCAGATTACCAGGCCTTTCTTCTGAGGTGCCTCTGGGTGGGTTTGAATCACCAACCTTTTGGTTAATTGCCCAGCGCTTAACTATGCCACTCAGACTCCATGTCTAAGGATTAAAAACAGAGGAAACCAACTTCTAGCCTTTCTCTCTTTCTGCTCCTATGTGGTAAGCATCTTTTTTTCCCCTCTTCTACCTCTGAAATGAGGGTCTCATATTTTAGTGGATTCATAAGCCCTAATGCTGGACCTTGTAGACTCTAATTTAGATGCTGCATCCCTGGATTGCTGTCATCCAGTGCAGTAACTCATGGTGTCATCTCACCCCCATGTGCCTCCTCCCAGACCATACAGAATCCTTAGTAATAATTTATTATCAATTTTAATCATGGAATAATACGTGATAAATTCAGTTATAAATTGCTTAAATATTTCTTAGATTATATGAGTACTAAATCTTTACGGAAGTAGATTGCCCCATCTTCTTTCCACAGAGTGTCTGGTAGGTTTGAACTATCAACCTTCTGGCTAGCAGTCAAATGCCTTAGGCATTGTGCTACCAGAGCTCCTTTTAATAACAAAATTGCTTTGTAAAATCTTTCATATTGAATTACATTATTAGTAGTAAATGAGCCAAGCCTTTTTTAATGTTTTTCCTTCTGTCTCAAAAAAGTTATTGATACAGGTTCACAAATACTACTTACCACAATATTGTAGCTAAAACATCAGAAAATCTGACAAAAGTAGCAACTGTTAAAACACTGGCAACCGCAAAAACAACAGCATGTGTTTATAGTGCATAGCGATGAAACCATGTGATCTGAAGCGTCATTGTAATTGAGCAACAACAATTTTGAGCAGAGCTCATTAGAAGTTTCTAAAGTAAATTAGCATAGAATTTTAGCTATATAGGTATGTTGATACATGTAAGCTAGGCTTATAAAATATGTTTTTGTTGTTATAACTAACTACAGGGATATTTTTATATTTAAGAAATATTATAATAAAGTTCTGCTGAAACACTGCACAGATACTTTATAGACCTAAAGTGGTCCCCATGTTCCATACTTCCCTAGTGATGTCACTGCTGCCTCAAATGCTTCCTCCCTTACACTGCATTGATGCCACGTTAAAACCCCCATTCAGAGAGCTTCTCCCTCATCCCTTGCACTGTACTTCCTACCACATTCTCCCGTGTTTGGTAGCGAGCAACTTGTGCCTGTGATTCCAAAGCTAGCTTGTCTGCAAGTCCCCGTGGGGTTCTGCTCTTCATGGGAAACCCTTGAACTAATCCATGCAAGTCTGTCGCCAACCTCTCTTTTTCCAGAAAGGACTCTGATTCTTAAGAAATCTGGTGTCAGTGGAGGTTGGGTTAAAAATTAATTTCCAGCATAGATCAGGAGGGAGCTTCTTAGGATTTAGTAAGCTGTCATAGGGTTGCTTAAAATTGGTTTTCCATCTGACAATATCCTGTCTTAAACCGTACTTTCTCCCAAAAACTGAAATTCCACCAGCATTTAGTAAGTGCCAACTATATGCAAAGCACAGTGCAGTTAGACACAAGAAGCTATGACACAGAACATAATGAAGCAAGAATTTAATACACATATTCCATTTTATAGATACATATTTTAATCATCATCAGAAACTTAAATAAGAAAGATAAAACCTATATAAAGAAAAATATAAAAACTTACTAAGTTACATAAAAGATATATTTTGTTGTTTTAGTTCTTAATTTCTGGAACTTGACACATAATTCTAAAAGTGTTCTATCGATAGAGCAAATGTGGAGGAAAAAACAAATTTGCAGGAGTGGAAAGAGACTGAGGAGAAACATTGCCAAAGAGCAAAATATAATGTATACCACACAAGAATATATGTTATGTTTCTGTCCCGGAAGACTCAATATTAGAAATGCTGCGATCTCTCCAAATTAATCTATAAATCCCACGTAATTCTAATTAAAAATACCAATAGCTAACAGTCTCGGTTCTTACATGTATCGGTGTTAAGTTTCCCATAAAGAACTGCCAGAGGTTTGCCAAGATGATCATCTGAAGAAGGATGTCCCAAGCAAAATATTACCTAAAATAGCTCTTTGGCAGTATTTATTTAAATTCCTAGGAAATAATACAACGGGTATTTTTCCTAAAAAGCTACTTGTAAGTCAAACTTCTGAATATACAAAGTTACTTATAACAATCAGAAGATGGACCATGTTTGTACAAATACCTTTTGAAATCCAGCTTGATGCCTTTATTGCTTTTCACAATTTCAGCCAGCCACTCCTGCAGAGTATTGTCGCTGCTTGTTTCAGGAGGATGGGCCATGATTGGTTGGCCACATTCTGATCCATCATCAGGAAGAAGGACATCGGCCTCTATCATGTGAGCAGTGCCTGTCCAAATAAAAGAGCTTAACTTAATGCTGACAAAACAGCAGGCAGAACTACCAAAAACCAAACCAAACTCACTGCTGTCACATCGATTCGACTCATAGAAACCCCTCCTTGGGTTTCCCAGATGGTATCTCCATGGAAGTAGATTGCCCAATCTTCCTTCCAAGGAGCAGTGGGTATGAACTGCCAGCCTTCTGGTTAGCAGTCAAATGCCTTAGGCACTATGCCACCAGAGGCAGAACTACAGGAGAAGCTACTGATCTTTTTTTAGGAAGATAAAAGGAAGAAAAGAAACAAATATTTACTGAGTGACTACCATGCATCAGGCATTGTGCTAGACTCTTCCTTATCTGTTGTCCTTACTTTGTACAGATGAGCACACAGGTGCTGAGAAGTTAAAACAACTTTCCACATAGGTCTGGCTTGGCTTTTGAATTTTTTCCCAGCACCTGGCAAAGTGTGTATACCCAAAACAAACCAAAACCACTGCCACTGAGTTGATTCTGACTCACAGTGACCCTACAAGACAGAGTAGATTGCCCAATAGGGTTTCCAAGGGTGTAATATTTACAGAAGCAGACTGCTTCATCTTTCTCCCATGAAGTAGCTGGTAGGTTCAAACCACCAACCTTTGGTTAACAGCCAAATGCTTTAACCAGTGTGCCATCAGAGCTCCCGAAGTGTGTATAAAAGGTCATATTAATAAGAATTTGTTTAAGTTTTCTGTGAACAAAAACTTGTACTTTTACCCTGTCACACTTCAAATCATAAACCATAGATATTTACTGCCCATCAGAATGAGTCACCATTTTCCCACCTGTCGTTCAAGACTGGCTCAACTTTACATATATCCAAACTCTACAAATGTTATGTTCACCCTCTTTTTTTTGGCTCAGTCTTCTGATATTCCTTCTACCTTGAAGGATGCTGTCCTTGTCTCCAATCTAAATTATTCACATTCTTCACAGTGCAATCTTGCAGAAGTCTTTCACTTCATTTTTCTGAATTCTTATAAAATTTGCAGTTTATGACATGTGACAGTGCTACTATAGATTCTCTTTTTCTTTCTGTAGTTGAATGGGTATCTTTTGCCTCTATAACGAGGCCATGAGTAGGGGCATATTGCTTAACAATGATAGCCATAAAGTACAGTAAGGACTAGATACTCATGGACTGATTCCTATCAGTTATTTGATAAAGGTTTCGGAATAGATTACAGCAATTAAAATTTTAGGCTAGTATATGCTCCCTTCTGGTGTTTCTTTGGCATTCTTTTTAATTATTATAAATTAATTAACTTTAAAATTTACTCCAATTTTACTTCCATCATCCCATCTACTTCTTTATTCATGTGTCATCAGCATCAACTGTTCTGGTTTGCTTTTTCAATTCTTGTTTTATCACCTATCATTTTAATGTGTCAACACAGTCCACTATTTTAAATTGTTCTAAATATATTTTATTCTAGAGATATAACAGAGTTTGACCGTCCATTGCCAATATTGAGAAGTTAGGTTTTGGGTTGTTTTCCCCTGCCTAGTTTTTCTATTTTAAAAACAACATTAAGAACATGTTTATACAAACCTCAGTCAGTATGGATGAAAACTAACAGCTAACTATCAAATAAAGTTTTAAAACTACAAACAAAACAAAACAAACAAACAAAAAAAAAACCCATGTTTGTACCTCTGGGGTAGACATAAAGAATGAGAATAAAGACTATTGTTCTCCAAAACAAAACAAAACAAACAAACAAAAAAAAACCCATGTTTGTACCTCTGGGGTAGACATAAAGAATGAGAATAAAGACTATTGTTCTCAAAATAAAATCATCACCTTATGTTGTTGTTGTTAGGTGTTGTCGAGTCGTCTCCGACTAATAGTGACCCTCTATGTACAGCAGAATAAAACACTGCCTGGTCCCGTGCCAGCTCCACGATCCTTGCTATACTTGAGCCCATCACCGCAGCCACTGTATCAATCCATCTTGTTAAGCGCCTTCCCCTCTTTTGTTGACCCTGCACCTTACCAAGCATGACACCCTTCTCCAGGGAATGGTCCCTTCTGACAACATGACCAAAGTAGGTGAAATGAAGTCTGGCCATTCTTGCTTCCAAGGAGCATTCTGGCTGTACTTCCTCCAGGACAGATCTGCTAGTCCTTTTAGCAGACCATGGTACTCTCAGCATTCTTCTCCAACAATACAACTCAAGAGCATCAACTCTTCTTCAGTCTTCCTTATTCATTGTCCAGCTCTTACATGCATAAGAGGTGACTGAAAATACCATGGTTTGGGTCAGGTGCACCTTAGGCTTCAGGAGACATCCTTGTTCTTCATCACGTGAAAGACTTGCCCAAGGCAATATGTCATCTGATGTCTCGACTGCTGCTTCCACTGGAAGCAATATATATATATTCCAAGTAATATGAAGTCCTTGACAACTCCAAGCCTTTCTTTGTCTACCATGAAGCTGTTTATTGGGTCAGTTGTGAGGACTTTTGTTTTCTTTATATTGAGGAGTAATCGATACTGCAGACTGTAGTCTTTAATCTTCATCAGTAAGTGCTACAAGTCATCCTCACTTTCAGCAAGCAAAGTTGTGTCATGTGCATATCACAGGTTGTTAATGAGTCTTCCACCAATCCTGATGCCACGTTCTTCTTCATATAATGCAGGTTTTTGGATTATTTGCTCAACATACAAGATGAGTAAGTGTGGTAAAAAGATGCACTCCCTTCTTGATTTTGAATCATGCAGCATCCCCTTGCTCTGTCTAAACGACAGCCTCCTGGTCTATGTACAGGCTCCTCATGGGTACAATCAAGTGTTCTGGAATTCCCATTCTTCTCAATGTTATCCACAATTTGTCATGATCCACACATTTGAATGCTTTTGCATACTCAATAAAACTTAAGTAGACATCTTTCTGGTATTCTTTGCTTTCAGCTAAGATCCATCTGACATCAGCAATGATATCCCTAGTTCCACATCCTCTTCTGAATCCAGCTTGCATTTCTGGAAGTTTGCTGTCAATATAGTGCTGCAACCATATTTTAATTATCTTCAATAAGATTTTATTTGCATGTGATATTAATGATATTGTTTGATAACTTTCACATTCTGTGGGATCACCTTTCTTTGGAATGGGTACAAATATGGATCTTTTCCAGTCAGTTGGCCAGGTAGCTATCTTCCAAATTTCTTGGCATAACCAAGTGAGTGCCTCCAGCGGGGCATCCATTTGTTGAAATATCTCAATGGGTATTCTGTCAATACCTGGAACCTTGTTCTTCGCCAATTCCTTCAGTGCAGGTTTGACTTCTTCCTTCAGTACCGTTGGTTCTCGATCATATGCCATCTCCTGAAATTGATGAATATTGACCCATTCTTTTTGGTACAATGACTCTGTGTATTTCTTCCATCTTCTTTTGATGCTTCCTGAATCATTCAATATTTTGCCCACAGCATCTTTCAATATTACCTGTGGGCTCAGGACCATAGTCCCAGGGGACATCAAGCTCAATTGGCATAACATACTACACAAAACATTTTTCCACCTCCTACTTTAGCAAGTAGCAACTGGGATCTTAAAAGCTTGCAAGCTGCCATCTAGATGCAAAGATGGGTCTCTCCTCGTCCAGGGCAAAGAAGAAGGAAGAAAACCAAAAATTCATGGAAACAATTAGTCCTAGCGACTGGTACACCAGGCAATGCACAGCCTATATGACTATGAGACCAGAAGAACTAGATGGTGTCCAGCTACCACTGTCAACCACTTGGAGGGGGATCTATGTAGGAGATCCTGGATAGAGAGGAAGAACAATGTGGAACAAAACTCAAAATCATTTGGA